ATCCTTTGAAATGGGTGCAGTCAATGAACAAGCTAAAAATCGTATGCTCACCTGTGCTGCCATGGCTTCGCCTTGCATTGTCTGTTGTTGTGCAACGAACTCGCCGGCAGGCTGAGGCGGTTGAGCCGTGAACTGCTCAAAGGCAGGTCGACTGCAATTGCTGACGCAAGACCTCTCTGAATTCTCAGCGAAATTTAAATTAAAGATGTACAATATGTCAATACCATGTCGGAGGAGACTCCGCGCAGACACTTGATCTGAAGGTTAGGAAACACGCATAAAAGTTTACTTAAAACAACCAAAACATTAAATGGTACCTAAGAAGTTTTTCGCTGTTCAAGTATTCCGATGCGTGCATTTTCCCCAGGCAGCTTGAAATACATTGTATGGCTGGAGTCAATATCGCACTGCATTTGCCTAACCCATCTCGTTCAGCTAGCAACCGTTGATATAGCTCAGTTATCTTTATGGGAGTCCTCCCTCCCGGTGACAGACTGAACTATACCCACAATATGCGTATGCTGTCAGGTTGTCCGGGAAGTTTTGAGAAAATTTCACTTTTAGTTTGAAGAAGGGTAGCAAGCGAATACCCTAACACGAATCAAGTGCTGTGAGAAAGAGTAATGTTTGTAGATCAACTCAAGCGTTGGTTGGTGTTATGATCCATTTTTGGTACGAGTTGGTACTACCTGAAAAATTTACTCGCACTAACTCCCAACGCTTTCTAATTCATCTTCACCGCTTTGGCTGCTCTACCTGTCAAATCGGCAATGAGGCACCGTCACCGATGCTGGATAGAGCCCGTTTGAAAATTATCCGTAATAGGAGATCAATCGGTCTCTCACGAGGAAGTTTAGCTTAAATGTTGCATTCCCCCCATTCTCTTCTCACTTCATTCTAACTCCCACGCAATGCAATCACGCCCAAAAGTTAAGGGAAACAGGATGGACAATGTTCATTATAACTATGAATTCCCATCTCCCATTGCTGGTAATAAATATTAAACGGAGTGGCTGACTTTTTTCGAACTTTTCACACTCTAATACTATTCACTGGTGACGCGTAGGTTTCGAGGAGCCTTTTGAAGTATAAGCACCCCGTAAAGGAAGCCTTGAGAATGCGGTCTGACCATGCTGTGTGATGCAAATGAGTCGAGTCAGGGCACAGCATTCGATGGGGATTTTGGTCGAGCTCGTACGACCCCCCCCTTTTTTGGGGGGTTCGGTACGACCCCCCCCCTTTTTTTTGGTTTTTTTCACACAAAAACAACTGACAAGTACCCAGAGCTAGCCGTTCATAACTTTTTCCTAGTTTTAGTGAGCGTTCAGGAATAGCTTCGAGTTGTTATTTATTGTTCCCTACGTGAATCTGAAAAAAATCGAGAGGAAATAAACACAACTCAAAGCTATTTTGAACGCTCACTAAAACTAGGAAAACTTATGAGCGCAAAGGAAGGGAAAAGGAGAAAAAAAAAAAACAGGAACAATAAACATGAACGATAAATAAATGGTAATGGTACGATAATAATAAAATAATCGATAAATTTGTTAAAACAAATGGAAATCCAGTTGTTGTGCGCAGGACCCCAGTGCACTTGATTTGAGGGGCAGAATTTCCGCAGAAATCGTACGGTAGCAGAGTCTGTGTGAATTGCAGCTTGACTGGAGCAAACGGCTATTAGCCATGGAGCGAGAATTTTCAGCAAAGTAGGGTGTCTTTGAAGGACCATAACTTCCTCAAAAGCGGACCTGTGGGGAAGAGGAGAGCGTATTGGTAAATTAGAAGGTTTGATCTTCCTGAAAGTACTAAAATGTTCATGAAGGTCGCGAAAATCACAGAGAAATCTGCCATAGGGATTCGTTGGGGAGTGAAGGGTTGAAGTTCGAGTTGAACAGGTTTGAATCAATATATTTTTTTGTAACTCAACATTTCACAAATCTGAGAACGGATCCGAGCTTCTCAAGATTTTCTCTTTCTAAAAACCTATTGAACTGTTCCTGAAGCTCTCGGGATTCATGAGATCTCGCGATGGGGATTTCTTAGGGAGCACTCCCAGCCGCGCGAAAAACCCGTTTCCTGTGCACCGTTTCAAGTGAGCGTGTTCGAATAGCCAGGAACGCATGTAGAACGTATCCTGTGGTGGAGCAGGAGCAGGATATGGTTCGTTTAGCGCCGATCACGCTGACTTTGTATGCGCCGCGCACTGAGGTCCGCGCAGAGGTGATGGGATGGTGCAACTTGTGCGTAATGTCTGTTCACGCGAGCAAATGTGTCTATAGTATTCAGGGAGGTCTATGACGAACCTGTGCACTTGTTTACAGTGTTTTCCCTTGTGGATGATGGAGCGTGTCTGTGTCGACGCCGCCCGATCTGTGCTCCTCCAATTGCTGTCTCCGATAAAGGAGACCAACTGCTGGAAAACGTGTGATACGAACGATATGGTAGTCGCGTCGCTTGTCGAAAAAATAGGCTGGATCAGCCCCAAGCGCAATCGCGGACACGCCCCATCATCTGCAGCAAATCAGAGTATGCGTTTACTGTTTAGTCATCAACGGACTTACGAGATGATGTCGACTCATTTAAATTCCAGTTATTTCGTATTTTTATAGCTGAAAGTTTTGTCCTTTTTTTCAAATATCCGAGTTCTCTACAAAGTAAGCTTCGCTGTACCGGACTCAGCACATTGACACCTTTGCGCTGCTCGATACTGGCTACGCACTCATTACGACCCCCCCTCTCCTGGCGGCCAAATACGACCCCCCCCATGGGGATTCCCCAACCAATGCTGTGCCCTGAGTGAGGTACTTACGAAGCTATGCAATTCATTTCACTTTTTGTGAAAAAATTTACTATACAGCAGAATATCTGGAAAGCTAACTAACCTCCCAAACTCTGAGTGCAGTATTTTTCAAAAAAAGATTAGAGCTTTACGTAATGGCTAACATTCAGATCGCGAAGTAATGTATAGTAAGTAGCACAGATTAACGTCAATACATCCGATCTACTTGAAGGAAAGCAGCACCAAGAGAGGGGGTGCAGGAAATTCCCCACAAATCCAAAAAAAAACAATGTAGAAGCGAGAATGAATAAGCCTCGTTTGAATGCAAGCAAGTGGGCGCTATTGATCAATGCTGGCACAGTGCCAGATTTGGTTATACGGTATTAATCCGTCCAGGACTCGCTTCCTAGCGCAATTGTCTGTCGAGCCCCGCCCTCAAAACCGTGCCAACTACCTTTCGAACCTAAAAATCTATAATTCGTTGAGATTTCGCGCGTTTTTTATTTGTTTGTCTTTTTGCGATATTTGGTCACAGATCGATTTTCTTCATAATCTAATGGTATGTATAATTTGATGTGGGGTGATTAGTTCATGACTGAGTTCTTTCTTTTATTCACAAAAAACACTACTAATGCTAAACACTTGCAATGCATTAAAACAACAATTATTTTAAAATTAGTTTTAGATGCTTTGTATTTTACATTTTATTCGTTTAAAAATTACGGCGAGGAGAGCGTAGTATTGAACAGACTGCATTACAATTTTAATTATTTTTCGCTTCTTCTCGAGCAATTTTGTGGTCCTTAGTGGCAGCGATGGCTTGATTATGCTACATGGAATCCAACATACTTCGTTTCGAAGCAAAAATTGAAGTTCCTCGTTCTTGGGTTTAGAGATGGTATTTTCTTTTTTGTTTGGCAAACAGTTTTCGTTAACAGACTCTTGCCGGGTCGTAAAAGTAGTCGAGGGTGATTCATGCATTTTTTGCAAATTATCCAGCATGTTGAGAAGGCCACCTTTGGCCTTTTCATCATCTCTATGGCTTTCCTTGTTTATTCGTGCTCTTGAAGAATTTTACTAACACCACTGACCTTCGTTTTTTCCTTGTATTTTCGGTATGATTGTGGAATTGAATGGTCAAATCGCAAGTACCAAATGAAGCGGGTGTTGTGATTCCATCGTGTCTGAGGATTGAGTGTGACTGCATACGTTATCCAAGGTTTTTTGCTGTCGGATTCAAATGCAAACAGTTTCGCACCAATTTTCAGGTAGTTGTGCTATCAGAAGGATGAAAATGAATGTGGTCGATGACCTCGTAATTCGATCCGAACCAGCTTACACTGAAGCCGATCCCACTCCTGACGGTGAGTCTATACGCTACCATTGTAACCATTTGCATTTATCGCTGTCTTTTTCAGCAATTGGTCTTGAGTTCGTGCGTCAGTATTACACCATTCTATCCAAGTCTCCCAGCTGCGTGCACAAATTCTATAGCCACGAATCGGTGTTCGTGCACAATGACATTACTGTCATAGGGCAACAGGTAATGGACCACTTTCTAGAGGCAATCGCTCTTCTTGAAACGGCTTGGTGGCTCTTCTCAAAGTTATCATTTACTGTAACATTAGCAGTGTTTTGCTTGAAAGCATACACCCCCCCCCCCTCCGTCCATTTGATGTTTAGACGCCTTCTCTGAACATGGTAGTCCTGTTTGTGAGCCGGAGCACTACTTTCGCAGCTCAGCATTACAAGAGGAAAGTGCGAAGCGCCCGCGACGAAGCCGCGGTCGGCCACTAGTCACGGCGAAGCCCAACTTTCATTTCTAAAAGCTTCCTGGTGGTGCGCTTGTTCCGCTTTCAGCTCTATCTTTCTCCATTACTGGTGGGTGTGAGGTGATGAGGAGAAAGAGCTGCCCAAACAAGTGAGAACTGGTCCGACGCGCTTATAAGCCTGGTTCAGCGTGGGGCTCTATACTGGATGTTTCGTGCGATTTTCTTTTCTGCTTATGTTACTTACCATGTTGTCCGTAGTTTCAGTCCGCACAACTCACCATTTTTGAATCGGGGCGTGGATTTAAGGATGTTTTGTTCAAAGGCGACTCCCGCTTCTTTGTTACTGTAACGTTAGTGCTCT